GGATTCGTCTTCATAAATGCATTGCTTTCTAGAAAGCCCACTATTGTCTAAATCAATCAAATCTCATCTTCTACCGTTACCGAGAATACAATAGTGTGCCACCCGGTATGCTTTGCTTTTCAGTTGTGCTGATTATCGATCTCTCTCACTACTGGTGAAGCAACTCCTAATTGAACTTTCAATTTTCTTAGATCGATTACAGAATCATTTTGAATCTTGGCTTTGTCAATTGTTCCGTAACGTAACAAAACGAGGTTACGAACAACGCCGCCTGTAACAAACAAAGATACGCGATATCTATTCAATCTTCTAAATTTATCGCCGTGCATGACATAACAATTATTTGATGCCACTGCTGAAAATTGACAAATGGTGGTTCGGCTTGTAATGGTTTCGTATGTCAAAAATGGTTACGGGTAACCTTTAACAGTATTTCTTCTTTGCTGGCCATAACGTAAAACATTCGCGGTTACGTTACGGGTTATTGATTACACATGAATATGCATCGTGAGGTAGATGTTTTCAATAAATAACAAAACATTAGGATGAATCTGTCTGCATCTGAATATTTTGCTTCTAGGAGTACCCAAACGTAAATAACCAATTTTGAATTCCCAACAGTTTTTCCCAAAAATCTTTGCTCTTGAATATTTTGGGAACTACTGGAATTACCTGATATAATATTATTTAAAGAATCGATATTGTTCAACATTCTGGAGCCTTTTCGATGGTAACCAATTAGAAAAAAATGCCGAAAATGATAGATTTCAAGTTTATATATTTTTACATTATGTTTTCAAAATGATTTAGAGTTTGAAGTAATGATTGGCAATTGCATATTTTAGCCTTTTTGAATGGCTTCAATTTAAATAATATTCCATTCATCATGTTTATCAAATTATCTGGAGGAACAATTTGTTCAGGCCAGTCTCAACTCCCTACACTGTAGCTTAATGGACTGACACCTATCATAAAACAACTACTACCTGGCTAATACCACGAAGGGTGTTGGATTATATCCGACAGGTGTCAGGTGTCAGCCACAATACATTTTCAATTATTGGAACACACTTGCAGACCGGTTTCGGCCTGTTTGGCCACTCGTCAGTGCATGATCGATGATTTCCGATAATTGACAATCGAATTTCTTCAGAGTATCATTCCTCGAACTAGGCTGAAACGGACAACCAACAACAGATTTGCCATCGCCCTATCTGCTTGTGAACGAGGTAACCAGCCGCATATCCAAAATTTGCCCAATTCCTCGTACAAGGAAAACAAATTCACATATAGTCGGTGGGCATAGTTGAAGACTGGCTACAAATCAAATCATCTGAAGGAACAATTTGTTCAGGCTAGTCTCCACTCCCTACACTGTAGGTTGATACACTGACACCTATCAGAAAACATCTACTCCCCTGGCTATTACCACGAAGGGCGTAAGATTATATGAGGAGTTTTTTCCTTACACGAGGAATCGTGCGATGGCAAATCTGTTGATTGTTGTCCGCTTCAGCCTAGTTCGAGGAATGATACTCGTTTTTAAATTATCTGAAATCATTGACTGTGTGTTGATGATAGACACTATCTCACACTGAAGTTTGAGGCCAAATAGCCTCAAACTCTCTTTAACAGGAAAAAAGATACAAATGTTTGGCTTTGGATATACAGTGCTTTACTGTTTAACAATTTAGAATGTTTCAAAGATTTGACTGGTTTTATAGATACATTTCGAAGAAGTAGGTGGAATATGATACAGATTGGTAATATTGTTGATTTTTCGCATAAAATTTATTTCTTTTGATACATTCTCACACTGTGATAATATAGTTGAGTTTTACTACTATTATTGTACTACTTTTATGAATTGAATAAAGTGTTCAAAAAAACAACCCGAAACCGGTCTGCAAGTGTGTTCCAATAATTGAAAATCTATTGCGGCAGTTGTATCGCCAACAGCATATGCAGAAATAACTTCAGTGAAGAATCCTGCACTTCCTTTAGATGATTTGACTTATAGCCAGTCTTCAAGTATGCCCACTGACTATATGTGAACATAATGTTTATGATTGAAATCATATTCAAAACTTCGTTTTCAAATATTCATGAACAGTTACTCAACTACAATATGATTATTGGAGAACCCGCGGTGCACTGTTAATTCGACTACCATGAATTTTTGGATAATGATATTTCATGTTTATACAAACGACTGACATTTCTAGAATGTGACATCATAATATTCGTTAAATTCGTCTTTTATGGCCCTAGAATTATCATCAGCTTGAAAAATGACGGAGTAGTTAGTGAGTGTTAGAAAAAGGGAGATGTTTTTTTTTTTTTAAAGTAAATCACCCTGAATGTTTTCGTGACACATATATCACCATTCAAAAGAGAAAAACGCAGAATGTTCCCAAGAATATGTTTAAGTATTTTGAAACCCCGTCCACTTCAGAGTGGAAAAACTGTTTTAAAAGTGAATATTTTGAAAAACAATAGAACAGTTTATTCCAAACTGTATTTCTACTGTTTGTAAAAACTCAAAAGGTATCTAACTCTTAAGCTGAAACCGGAAAAGTTTTAAGTTATTTTCGAAACAAATGTTTTCAATAAATGATTTTCATTTTTCAGAAATCCTAATGACTCGATATGAATGTGAAAATTGTGGAAAATCATACAAGAATAAAACGCATTTACGGAGACATAAACAAGAGTGCGGCAAACCTCCAGCTTACGAATGTTCCATTTGTAATTATAGAACTTATAGGAAGGAAACTATCAAGACTCATTCTTTATCCAAGAGACATATTTTCAATTGTATGAGAAATAAAGATTTTACGAAAACGTATGAAATGTAATTTATTTCTTCATAACCAGTGTTCACATATGCTTGTACAAAAATTCCAGTGAAGTTTTTGGATTACCGCGGAGGTAGTAGATAGCATTTAGTCATACCTATACAGGCCGTTTCTTTTATCATATGGTAACATTGCTATATTTTAAACTGTTACAGATACGGAGACGAATAAATAGAAAAAAAGATAACTGTCATCGGGAACAATAGAATGGTCGAAAAAAAATTACGGGTACTCACGCCATTCTAGAGTTTTAATTAGAAAACTAAAAATGCGGTTTTTCGTTTTTTGTAATGGAATTGTTATTTCGGAGAATATCAATAAATGGAAAAGTAGTGTTATTTATTGTATTTGTACTATGACGATTTCATAATAAATATTCGATAAAACGTTTCGTGTCAACATGGCCACCATCAACTTGATATTTTTATAATTCTCAATCCTGGAAGTAACGAAAATATCAGTTTTTGGTCAAACTTCGATTGTTGTATTATTTGGTATGATCAAATAGCATCTCAAACCAAGCAAAGCCTACGCGTTTGAGATGGTAAATGAATTGAGAATTATAGAACAATCGAATTTTGACCGAAAACTGATATTTTTGTCACTTCAGAATTATAAAAATATTCGATTTATAATTTATTAGGGGGAAATAAGACTTGGAAGAAGGATTATGGCAATACAAAAATTTCCAAAACCAAAAAATACGAATTTTCATTGTTTTAGGGTACCTACCTGTCGAATTTATTGGGTTGTTTGAATTATATTTTAAAGAAATTGAAACAATTTACAAAAGAAGTAACAACAGAACCGTAATTTAAAATTGTTGTTACTGATGGTACTAGTTATTTCAAATGAAACGCTATAAAAATATCAAATGTGATATACCCTTGGATTGTGAATTTATTGCTTTATCAATATCTGTAATAAAAAAGACAGGTCCGTCTTTAAAAAATAGTTGATGGTGACCATGTTGACACGAAACGTTTTATAGAATATTCATTATTACATCCACTTAGTGCACCTCGAATTTCATAACATTTTTTCCCATTTTCTGATATTTTCCAAAATAATGCTGGAATATCGAAGCCCTTTTCAATAGAGTTTCAAAATAAACGAGGAATAGAGGAGGAATGAAAGATATTAAAGACTAATGATATTTTTGTTTCCATCATTGTTTTCTTACCTCAAATCTGTGACAAAATTCAAACAACTTTATAGAAGAGACGTAGGAGTGGACTTTTATTGGAGAATGAATTCAACTGAAAACACTTTCCTCATATACCAGAACGTATGATGGTTTTCTCCTAATTTTTCAGAGACTATTCGACCGTAAAATATAAGTCTTTTATATAAAAACTTCATTATATTATCATCTGTGTTACTGGGAGAAATCTAAACAACTACCATTATGATGTTTGTTCCTTCGGCCAAAACAAAGTGAGCAGCATATAAATTTATAATTCCCTCTCAACTTTCGTTCGCCTCGCCCGATCACACTTTTTGTAACGCTCTCGTTACTCATTCACCAGCTTACTCCCCAAGTCGAGCACGCGAAAAGAAGTTTTATTTAAAAAAATTATGACCATCTTTACAGATCTCACCCAGATCCACTTAACAACAGTGCTTTCATTTATATTCGATGTATCTTGGTGTTTCTCACATTGATGCAAATATGTCCTGAACAATGTTATTTCGAAAAATACTATGAGTATACGACACATCAAGTTTTTGATGGTTTTAGTGGTTTCAGAAAAAATATCGAGGAATGAATTAAATAACTGGAAGATAGAACTGGAATCTTTTTAACCATCACAAATATTGATTCCACATATTATATTTATATAGTCGCTAGGACATTACCCGGTTAGGTTCGGTCGGTAGTTTGTTCCACTTATTCAATCGACCGTCTGGTGAAACTATGGTTCAAGCCCACAAAGACCAAGAATTGACAAAAACTAGGGGGCCTGTCTGCTCTAAGAAACGTTGAATACTATTCGTAAAGGTATCGATACGAAATAATATAGTGCGTCCATCATTACTATTTTTGGAGATGATTTTATTGTACGTTCCTTCACGAAATAATCTTATCTGACGCAAATTGAACCCATTGAAAAATAATCAATTCAAATCGTTACAGTTACATCGCATGGCGTCAAAGTACAATAATTCTGTTCATCATGCTTGATATATTGAATAGTGAAAACTTTAAACGTATATTGGTGTCCACTGTAAGTGATTTTCTGGTGATAAAAAGATAATTCATTCAATCATGATTTGAATGTGATGTTCCCAAGTGAGTGAGTACTTTCGTTCTACTTTGGAAAACAATCATTAGGCATTTAAAATTCTGTACTGAACGGATGTCGTCAAGTCTAATTCTGCCCAAATAACTTCATTGTTCTGTAATAGTTGTGAAACGTTTAAAAAAAATCGAACATTTTTTCTTGTATCATCATTCTGGGAATGAGCCTCAGGTATACATTACCTGTATGTATACCCGAGCTCATACCGTGTTTCTGGCTATTTTCCTCATCAGCGCGGTGCAGTTTTTCATTTTTGGTAACCAGTTGTTGTCCATCCTTGCAATTGGCTACACCTCGCTGATGAGGCCAATAGCCAGAAACACGTGTCCGCGGTTTGCCCCCATTTTTTGAGTGTTCTGTCCACAAATTCTCTTAACCTTTTTGAAAATTACTTATCTAGCAGAAATCAGATTGTTCAAATCAATAATATTCATAGTGATCCACTACCTATAACCATGGGCGCCCCCCAGAGGACAGTACTAGGCCCAATTTTGTTTTTAATATACATTAATGACATTTACAAACTTGAAAACATCCAAGACGGCATTATATCTTATGCAGACGATACAGCTCTGTCATTTCTAGGTGATACGTGGGACGACGTCTTTAAGAGAGCTGAAAGGGGACTCACATCTGTTTTCTCTTGGTTGAAAACAAGTCTTTTGAGCCTAAACATCGCTAAAACTAAATACGTACCGTTTACCCCCACAAATAAAGATCTACCTTCCAAGAATAAGCTCAACATACACAATTTGCCAAACCCCAATGATATGCACATGTCCTATAGTTGATAAGGTAAACAACATGAAATATCTTGGTGTAGGTATATGTAGACCAACATCTACGATAGGAGGAATATGTAGACCAGACCGTTAAAAGACAGTAAATTATCTTATAAATTCTACCAACTCAGAAATCTCAATAATAAAATGCTACTAACAATGATATATAACTCACTCGCAGAATCAGTTCTGAGATATTGCATTATAATATGGGTAGGCGTCAGCAAAAGTCTGTTAGATAATCTAGAGGTAATGCAAAATACTATCCTGAAAATCATTTCCAATTGTGAAAAAAGATACTCCACTGTAGCACTATACAAATAATCAGAATTATTTGATGTGAGAAAATTATACACTTATCACTGCATATTGTGGATGCATAATAACCCCATCCCGAGCCAAAGTTCATCAAAACACGAATGTCTCTCGCTGTAGATTAACTTGCACTCAGAGATGTATGTCATTGACCGCGGTGAAAGTGCGCCCGACTCACGATCGGAAGGCCGTGGGTTCGATTCCCGCCTCGACCGGATATTTTTCTCGAGATAATTTATCTGGTTGAAGCTGGTATGATTCTGTAACCGTGTTAGGAATCACACGTTAAAAAGTAAGACCTCGTTAGTCCTTAGCTTGCACAAGTTTACCAACTTCTGAGAGTTGTCGTTCGTATGGGGACGACAGCTGATTAACGGAAAAACAGATTTTAATAGAACAGATACTCTGGCCCAAAACTAATAAACCTAGTTCCTTCTGACATTAGAGTAATCTCCAATAAATACAAATTCAAGTCAAAACGGAAAGAACATGTGAATCAAAACTAACTATGACATATTGAAATATATCTATAAACTGGATTCCTAATCGAAGTTCTCTCTAGATTATTGATATAAACTGCATCCTATTGTAGGCAGGGCCGGCCCTGCCTAAAATAGCGAAGAGAAAAACCAGAGGGGGAGAGATCCAAATTTTCCCAACCACACCAGCAAAATTTCCCAACTTTCGAAGAAATGAAAGCCGAGGGATTAGTGTTACTACTATAATATATTAATTTTCTTACTTAGCCATCCAAAGATTGGCTGAATCTTTGGATGGATCTTCACAGTCTGAAATTTCCCAACTTTTCCAAGTCGAAAAAACAGCGAAAAGTTGTGAATTTTGTAAAGTTGTCACTTCAAAATTTGTGGACTATTCAGGACTGTTTTCTTACTTGGGAGAAATTAAACTTTTTTAAAGATTTCAACTAACTCAGAATTCTCTTCAAGTTATGCATGTTGGGAAATCTCAACCTTCTCCTGGTTTTTTCCCTTTTCTTATTACCTCTCCTTCTCTTATCTCTCATTTTCATTTATAATCAACGTTTAAGTTGTTTATAGGTTGATACTACAACTTAAGTGCTGCTTAGGTAGGTAGCTCTGCCTTCAAAATTGTTTATTTATCATTCAATGTTATATCATTATCAAAATATATAATTACCTGAATAAATTTATCTATATATCTATTTACAGAGCCAATACAATTATTATGAAATTGTTTTTTGAAAAAACTGCGCCGGCCAAACATATTTTCAAATGTTCTCCAAAAAACGTCTCCATTTTTCAAAATTACAATAAAAAAAATATGAAAGAAAAATATTACGCCTTCAAACCACGATTTGGAAATATATTCATGTATGCGGTCATTTAAATGAGTAATATATGGGTTGAAAAGTTAGTTAGTATGAGTTTTTCGTTAACAAGATGTCGTTCACATAAGAACGATAACCCTCATAAGTATAAACTTTACTCAGTACCGCACACTTCTTATTTACTAAGTGAGATCATTCTCCAGAATTTGTCCGGATAAAAATCGATATTTGAAGCAGCAGTACATGAAAGATGATTTCGATTCATCTGAGACGGCCCATCGTCAAAAATAGAAAAAAGTAGGCCTGTATTAGAACCTTGTTGCATTGTTGAATCTGGTTTGAACTAAATTGACTCGAGGTCATCAATTTGGAGTAACCTTAGCCATTATATAGCACAATCTTACTAATATAATTATGATCTTGCGAATCTATGATCTCATTGATAAAGTGTGATACAAGTATGACACAGTAATGAAAAAGTAGCAGTAACGGGAAACCTTGTAGTACCTATTGGTATCACTTAAGTATTTTGGTCTGCGATTTTATAGAATTTTTTTGAGTTCATATTTTACAGAGTTGGACCATTTATTGTAAAAGATTTCCATTGCGTTTTATCTAAAACAAAAATTTATATCTGTGATAACATAATAATTGTAGAACATTCATGAACTGTTATAGTTACAGTTATAGTTATTTTTCCTTGTCCCTTTATTCTATCATCTGCTAATGTGGACAAAATGTTTCAGGTATCGAAAATCTCACAACAGATGAACTCCTACAAATCACCAGAACCGGTCATTTTCCAGTGATAAATATGAGCAATTTCTTCAAAGATACAAGTGAAACTTCGAATCGAAAGAAGAGAGAGAGGAAATCAACTGCTAAAGTTATTGCTATGAAAGAAATGATGGGGGCGGGTAAAACCATTGTCAAGAAGAAGAATATTATTTCAAATTCTGGCAAAAACAAGACACCTTATTATGTCAAGTATCATGAACGTAAAGATGGGATTTTGATAAAAACTTTCAGATGCTCAAAATGTGCCGCTTTTATATCCGCGGATTCTAAAGCATGTGGGAAATGTATTGCCAAAATGAATGAGAATTCGGATTCAGGTAATATCAGTAAAATCAACGTACAAGCAACTAAGACGAATGTAGTGACAAAGGTTAATACTAAGATCAGTAGTGAAAATATGAAGTCAAAAACTCCTAAAAAAATCTTGAAAGATGGAGCAAAAAATAAAAAAGGGGTTACTTACAAAATAAATGTTACAAAGAAAATCAAAACGACAAAAGCTCCAAAACCACCTCTCTCAGTTAAATCCACTCAGAAAAAAGCATCAACTGCCAGCTGTCCAAAGAAATCAAGTGGAAATTTGAAAAATCAGTCACTCATAAAGACCAAATCAAAATTAGAGAAACTTCAGAAAGTTGTTGGATGCCCAACATTGAAACTTCCCAAAGAAATCAAACCAAAACCACCAAAATCGGTTCAGAAACCTCGAACTAGCGTGACAGAAACACAAGTTACAGTTGCAAAAAAACCAATGGTAATGAAAAATGTCGGTGTTATGAATATTGAGGATTTCTATCGCATTGAACATAAGTTGAACTTACCAAAAAAAGAAGTTATTCCAAGAAAACCCACTCTCATTAAAGTGAGTCTTCAGCCGAAAAGAAAAAATGATTCTCAGTTTGACAGTGATAAAAAATCTAACGCGTTAGAAGGTGTAGTAAAGAAATGTAGAACGGAAAACATACCACCAAAGGTACGAAAAATTCATACAGGTAATGAAAATAAAATACAGAAAAATGAACCCATGAAGTTAATGAATCAATTCGGACAAAACTTCCAGACTGGAACTACTACTACTATTAAACCTGTTATTGCATCAGTTGTGCCGATGAAGAGTGATGAACCAACTGAAGAAGTGAGAAATCAGAAATCGGCAAAGCAGACTATCAAAGTGGTTGATCCTATTGTAGAAGTGAGAGGAGTACAAGAAAATGAAACAACTAACAAAGAGAATTTGCCGGAAAGTAAAGATTCGTTTTTCAGTTATTTGAATCTTGAACAGAATAATAAAGAAGAATTTTCTCTATCTCAGACAGAACCCATAGTGGAAGACCCTGTAGAAATTCCAGGCACCAACATACTTGCAAAAGAATGTTTTAGAGGTTTCTTTAATAGTCCCAATATAGAGATAATAGAAGAAAAAGAAAAGAATGAAAATAATTTGGAAACCAAATAGATTGTATGGTAATCTTTGGTATCGAAGGAAAGAAATGAAAACGATTTTTTCACACATAATAACAGCATGATCACAATATGACAAGAACCAATTCCTTTTAGCAGAATTGCAACAATTTGTATTCGACATACCACTTATCATTTTATTCATTTGGTATTGTTTGTATCTCATCCCTAATCGTTAGGCTAATAACAACTTGTATACTTTCAAGTTGCCTAGTTGCTGTTTCTAATTATATATGAAGAAGTGAAAAAAGAGTTCAATAAGTATAATTTGGAACCTTCAACGTGAAATGAATCGATTGAAAACACCAGAACACCAGAACAGAAATGCTGTCACTCGACGCGTGTTTCGCTAACCAAGTTAGCACCATCAGGAGATAGCTACTTCTCACAACTATGTTAATGCATCTAAATGAAAATTACTTTGCATAATGAGGGTTATCAAATTAATTCCTAGTACCTAATCTTCACCTGTTTTCTATCTGTAATTACAATAGAGTGGAAATAATGGGCTGTTTGGAATGGGACCTTGATCACCTTTCATACTCCTCATTCCACATTTTTCGATTTTTGAACTTTCAAAGGCATCTAAAAACTTGTCCTGTAAAGGTCTCTATAATGTCAAGAATATCTGGCTTATTCTGGGGTCGTTCTCTATGGCATTTTGAGCAATACCGAACTTCTTTGGTCTATGAAACCGAATTTGTGAAACATGTTCCTTGTAGTGAAATATTATAGTTTGCTCACTGCAAGTTAGGTAGTAAATAGTAATAAGTTGATGATTACTTGTTTACCAGAAGGCGCGTCGAGAGACAGCATTTTCGTTCTAGTGAGAGAAAAGTGTTTTCAATAGAACAAAGGATTGCTTTTTTCGATAACTTATTTTTTCTGCCCAATGTTATAGTATACCTGTGGATAAAAAAATGTAACCCTGAGAGAAAATGCTCTAGTTCTGTTATTTTGAAATAATATTTTCATTTCATTTAGATACTACTCTCGTATCAAAAACTGTTTTCGACATGATGAAAAAATTCAATCTTTTTTTGTAGTAACATATTTGTCTCCATAGCGAATTATTTTTTTTGTTCAAGTTCGTATGTGAATTCTACACAAAATCTTTTATATTTTGTTTTATATTTTTACTGTGAATTCTTGCGTCATAAATAAATGTAGTTTCAGATGACAATGATTTTTCATTACAATAGTGATAGGATTCAGTATTTTAAAAAGAAAACGCTAATCCGAAAATTTTGATTGAAATAATAAATGACCGGAAATGAATATCTAAAATTGAGTTTGAATCACTCTTTCTAGTTTTTTACACGTTAGAATTTGGCAATACCACGACAAATACTGGATAACATCCGACACTTGTTCAACAGCAGGAATTCTCTAAAACTGATCTAGACCCTCTACAGACAACTTTTAGAAAGTTGATTATTATCAGGCCAGGTTGAACATAGACAGCATTGACATTTGATTTCTCCCGACCGAGGATTGTTTATTCTGCTACAAGTTTGATAGAAGTTGTGGTAACTATAAAAATAATATCGAACACATCAGGGTATTTTTTGTTCCAAAAATGTAATTTTAAATTGGAATAGATCGCACAAATCTGTTTTCCCGTTAACAAGTTGTCTCACCTCTACGAACGACAACCCTCAGAAACCGAAACTTGTGCGAGCTAAGGACTAACGAGGTCTCACCTTTTAATGTGTGATTCTTAACACGGGTTAGACAATAGCAAGTGAAAATAGATCGGTTAGCCTGGGGTTTGAACCAGCGACCAACACGGCAGTCGATTTGAGTAAATGAACAAAGCACCCACGCCGAACCGACCGTCCACCGTCCGACATACATACAAGAGTACACTTTTACAGTTCACTTGAGACAAATAAATTAATTTATTAGACAACTTTGTTCCCCTCTCTAATCGCTATATATGTCCATTATTCTGAAGTCTAGAGTATGTGGGCCCTTATACTCATACCCAAGCAGAACTTTCTAGTTCTCAAGGCTCGTAATCACATGAGCTATTGTCACGAATATGTTTGGCTTGTTGCGAGATGGCAGGGTTCACCTACGAAAGCATTTCGGGTTTTGGCCGTATCAATTATTCCGTAACGTAACCAAAAAATGTTACTGAATAACGCCGTAATCTACAGGCAAAGATACGCGATACTTATCGGACGGTAGCCGGTTGGTTCGACGTGGGTGCTTTGTTCACTCGACCGCTATGTTGGTCGCTGGTTCAAGCCCAGGATAAACGATCGATTTTCACTTGCTATCGTCCAACCCGTGTTAGGAATCACACGTTAAATGGTAAGACCTCGTTAGTACTCAGCTCGCAGAAGTTTCGACCCCTGAAGGTTATCGTTCGTAGGGGTGCGACAGCTGGTTAACAAAAAAAAAACAAAAACCTATGTATTCGCTTCAAAGTAACGCAACAATAGTTTTTTTTGTGTGACGACTAATTACCGAAAAATGGTGGTTTTTTTCGTAACGGTTACGCGTGCCCTGGCGGTTACGGTTAAAGGTACGAATCTATCGAAAACTTAACCGTTAACATGTTACGTTACGGCGGCACTATTGCAACATATCGTACCCACCGTGTAATGTAATACACTACAGTTACGTTACGGATCATTTTTCACAAATCGATACGCGTCTTAAAACATGCAACAATACTCTGACTTCAATAGCCGTAACGCAACATATTCGTGATTACGTTACGGTTCATTCGTTCATAACTTTACACTTCATCTCGTTATGACTTTTAGACTTGAGCTCTCACTAGTCGTGCACTGTCTGTCATACTGTTGTCATTGCATTTATGATTTTGTAGAAACTTGAATGTTTGAGATTCAAAAGTCTAAATCTAAATTTTCAACAATCAGTAGCTCAATTATTTGTTGAGGTGAGTTATAGAAAGCAAAATCAGTCCGATGACTGTATCGAGGAAAGATTCGGACGTATTAATAAAAGAAATATTTCGAAATACAATTCGAAACATTCATATCTCCCAACGAAAAACAACTAGTTTCCTGGTTAATACTAGCCCGAGTGCTATTTTGCCGTTTGGGGCTTTTTACACAAGATGTAGCTAGTCAAGAATTTTTTCTCACAGACCTGCAGCTATACGAACGAGAATCATCTTCAAAACTATCCTCTGTGAGGTAATTATGATAATAATTATAATGAGGTTACTTATATGCATTTCTGTTGAAAGCAATTTAATGTTCACCGTGGTATTAGCCGGAAAACCAGTTGTTTTTCAACAAAGGAGTATGAAACAATTCCATCAATATACTCGTAAATATAGAGGTTTGGAAAAATCACAAAATCAATAATCAAAATCAATTATGAAACTGAATAGAACAAAATGCGATAAAATAATCATACAAGTGTAAAACATTCCTCAAACTCCACGGTACTCAAATCGTCTAAAATAGATACAGAATTAATTATATTCTTGAATAGCTGAAATTCAATTCATTTCACTTAGACAACTTATTTTCTTATATTTGAAATGGTGTGGTTTTTTAAATCAAAACATCTCGTAACTAACATAACGAAATATAATCCGAAATGAAATATAAAATGAATTCTTCTTCAACTTTGTAACACGCTTTGTTTGTTTGTTTGTAAATCTCTAACTCGGGATCTGTATTTGACAGAATTATCAACATTATTGCTTGATCTGTTCGCGGGCAGATGGTGCTGTACGTAACCTCCTTGATATATCGACATTATTGCTTGATCTACTCACGGGCAGATGGCGCTTGATCTATTCGCTGGCAGATGGCGGTGAACGTAACCTGGATATAATTCGAACTCACTTTACATGTATTTTTTCACTTGAAAAAAGTATTTTTTTTTATTAACACGCGTGCCTGCTGCCTTATTTGTAACCCTCCTTTGCGCGCATGCTGCCTTGGACTTGCTAGCTGATTTTCAGCCCCCCTCTCCGGGATCGGAAAATATCAATGGTCATTTTTGGTCACGATTGATCCCAAAGTTCACATAAAATAAATATAGTTTAAAAAGACTAAAGAACACGCTTTTATGGCATACGAAACTAAAAAATGGTAACTTTTTAGTTAGATGTTCTTTAAAAGCGTATTTTATTTTAGTTTTTTAAACTATATTTAGTATATACTATATTTCTTTGAACACATGCAATGAGCACACATGAATTGTGCATGTGTCAAATAAGTAAGTTGGTCATTATTTGATTCAATAATCATAATCTACAAAAGAAATACTACTGACATAGCTACTTCATTTTCTATTGAAATCGATTCACAGAAAAGCATCTTAAAGAGTGTCAATTGTTTTATAATGAAATATTAACGTATTGGATGCAATTATGAAGTGCTAGTGCTACAAAAAATAAGATATGGTAACACTACTTTGTGAATTACGTGACACGATAATTTTCTGTTGATTAAACTACTGTGTTAGCGAAACAAGTCGTGATATATTTTCCACATAAAGTTTGTGAAGATCAAATCGTAAGTTGTAGTTTATGAAAAAACACGATAATTTGTTTGATTTGTCATCTAGTGAAGAGGATTGAAACATAAACTGTCAAATATGTAAATTTAATTGTCTGAATAATCTGAAAATGCCGTAAAATTCAGGAAGTTGGGTTTTGCCTTCAATATGAATATTTTCGTTAACTGAGAATAAATCCAACGAACATTTTTTTGCATACCAAAACCGTGACATTTTTATCTATATTCTATTTGCCTACTATTTTTTATTTTCCTGTCTTGTAGAATTTTCTACTGATAGCGAACTGTTTCTGTTTAGAAGTCTGTTTAAATTCAGTTCTTTGTATTTGAAACATTTTCAAGGAAATAAAAGGAATTTACTCGCTTCAATGTGCTAAATGTATCGCTGCTAATGTTACTGTCAGTAAACGTCCTGAATCATTACGGATACATTTAAAAAAAATTCTCAAAAGTGCAGTTCTGAAATTCAATATTCCAGAACAACAAAATTTCGTTATTAACGAACATTTCGATAATTGTTTTTGAAATTTTTCAGGTTTTTATAAGTGTCCGAATTGTCTGAAAAGTTATTTACACCGGACTTCTCTGAATTCTCATTTAAAATTCGAATGTGGACAGGAACCGAAATTCAAATGCAGTTACTGTGAGCACAGAACCAAACGGAAACATCACCTCATCAGTCATATCACTTTAATGCATAGAGACCAAGCTATACCTGATGTTCTCAAGTCAAGAAAATATAACTAGAAATTCAATAAAAGTGAATGCTTCAAGTTCGTTTTTTCTTCATTCTTCGTTTATATTATCAGGAATTGGGTTGACTGTATATTTTATGTTAATTATAAAATGGTACTTTCTGAAAACTTATAGACCAATTGCACTGACATGTATGATTTTCGCAAATATTTGAAATATGGAAAAAGATTTTCGAAGGGGAAGTCCCATCTCTCGAACCTCTACCTTCAATATTCATTAATTTAGCGTGTGCTGCTCGATTTGTTCCATTTTGAAAAATGTATGTGTTCGACTCTAAAATATAATTATGAAGGAATGAAAAGAAAGTTTTTGGCTTTCTACTACTCCATCTTGATACAAAAAAATGTTGGAATTCCAAATAGGGGAATGAATGTCATTACGATGTCATCGATGACATAAGAAGATCAAACTTATTCCGTGGCATTAAAATTCGTAATTTATGATGAATGAATTGTGTGTATTTTCTATAATGTTATCCAATTTGGTACTGACGAGCCCTAAGGCAAGTGTCTTATGGCGAAACATCGATGTATACCAGTGAGGATGACAGTGTTCCATGTAAGTGCAATTTATAACCATTCATTTAAAGTAGAACTCCTGTAAATGATATCTGAATTTCATTCCATAACGAATGTTTGGAATACAGACTGAGTAGAGAAAAGTATCTTCTGTATAATTCAGTGTTCATGTAAAAGTATTTGTTTCGAAAGAATTTTTTCTTTCGTGTAATTCAATGTTTATATGAAAGTAGCCCATCCATGTATAGAGGTACTTATTTTCAAATTGATTACTTCCTTTTTTTGGAAGATTCCCACATTTTTTTATATCAAGATGGAGTAGTAGAAAACTAAAAGCTTTTTTTCCCAAAAAATAATCACTCCTAAAAATATAACCCCTTCAATTCGAAGGAATG